GACAATTAGCAAAGATAACTGCCTAACTTGAATATTGAGGTCGGGCATCAAAACCACGAGCTCCAGGGAACAGCACTCACTATTGACCAATCATGCAAGATTTTTATGCACAATCCTCCACAATTATGCATGATAAAACATGATTATACAATCATGTTTTGATGATTGCATAATTTTTCCATGGTTATCCAATCATGGAAACATTTTGCAATAAATAGTGACACTATATAAACCGTTAACCCCTAAAATCCTGACGTACCTCTGTATCTCTAACACAGAGGGTTTTTTTTTTTTTTTTTTTTCTTACCATATCTCAGTCAGAGATGCAGTTCCTCCTGCAGCCTCTTGGAGGCGCCGATGTGCTTGTTCATGCGTCCTCTGCTCAAGGGAGGAGAAGCATCCATCTGTATGCAGCGTTTGCTTCTCCTGCCTGTGACAGACGACCAGCCTTGGCTCACACAGTTGCTGCGTGAGATCACAGTGAGCAAACAACAACAAAAAAATAAAGTTTCATAAGGTAAAAATATATAACAGTAGTGGACCGTCATTTTCTGTAGTGGAAATATGAAATCTGCACAACAGCCAGAGTTTTAATACTAAATTGTTACATTTCGTGCCTTTGCACAAAATACTCACTTGTCAAGAATGGCCCCAAATTAAATAGTAGTCTGTACACGTGTTCGAATAGATTAAGCCTTAGATATGCACAAAATGATGGTCTTTTCCAGACTTTCCTTATTTTATCTTATTATAAGAAGATGAGATAATTGTCTCCTTGTAATGAGAAATAATACGATTATAAAGTTTCAATATTCTTTTATGTCTTAGAAATTGGAATAGTTATTTACGATTTGTAAGCAGTGACACAACCTTGAGCAGAAAGAGAGAGAGAGAAGGTACGTCGCTTTAGATGTCTGTCACAATTATTCTCAAAAATCTGGCATTTTAAGAAGTACGTGTTACAAACACTCTGACCATGTTGAAACAACTCCAATCTCAAAAATACTATGCAGGTTCATAAAAGTGCCATTTTCTAAATCTTTAAACGGCTGCCATATTTTTATAAGGTGGACATTTTTTTTTCAGGTCTCTTACATAATAATAATAAAAAAAACCCCGAATTTTCAGATGCATACAGTTTTTGATCCATAAGTATAGCGACTATAAAACAAAAGAAAGACTGGTTTATTAATTTTTTTCACTGCCATCAAAGTTACTCATATAAAGACAGGTGCAGTCCTTCTCAACCTGCTAGATAAACAACTATTGGCATTGTAGTCAGTTTTCTTTATGTGGAAGATTACACTTTTGCATCCGCAACATATCTAAATCTTCTTTGAGTCCCACACCAGGACGCATATCATTAACAGCATGACCTTTTATAGTTCCACTGCTTTCATCAAACATTTTGCAAGGAATCATTATTTTTAAGACTTTCTGACAAGGCCTGCTTACCTTCTGTGGTCAATTTTACCAGAAATAACAAGGCTCCCCCTCTTCCAACACACAAGCACACCCACCAGTGGAGTCTGATGAGAGAAGTCAGTGTCAGCCCTGAAGGGAGGTGCTTGCTGATAGAGTTTGCTTTGTGGAGGAGATTGCTCTGAGAACGCAGGACTGATGTGTTCGCCTTTGAGTCGGGACGGAGAGAAGGCCTTTACTTGCCTTTACAGCTCACAATAGCAACCCCATATGACCTCCAAGACCTTGTTGCTGTGAAAAATTGGAAGAATTCATATTTTGGCCTTTTGGGTTCTAAAAAGGTTCTAAGGAAAGTTTCAAAATGCAAAAAAAAAAAAAAAGAAAGAAAGAAATGGGTATGAAACCAGAAATATTGAGTCAGAAATTTATTGCAAACAACCATTAAACTGTAACAAGATGTTCATCAGCTGATGAAAAGATTAAAACCACAGTCTTTAAAAGCCCAAATCGTCACATAAATGTGGATTCAGTGCTACTCACTACTTGTGGTGCACACTGTGATGCCAAGTTCTCCAGCAGAAGGTTGGTGGTTTGCTTTAAATGGGCTGATAATGAAAAGCTTTAAGAAACCTGAGCTAATGTAAGAATTATTGATCTCTTTAGCGGTACCAACAGCTCTGTGTATTGCACATCTTCGTAAAACAATCTGCAGATGATTGGTTTCACTATTGTGCTGATGTACAGTACTGGAAAGACTGATTTATTTATTTGGATAATTTCCCCAGTACACGGACTATGCAAAGACAGAGTCAGCATTGTCCGGTGTGTGAGACCGCCTTCTGGGTTTTGTACGTTGAATTTCAAACACGCCTGATCAATCTTTGCATAACAGAAAAACCCTTTTAACTGCTGCAACCAAATCCCCGACGATCAAAAGGGGAGGAAATAAAGGAATAAACATGGAATCATTTACAGGACAATGCCCGAACGAACACATCAAAGACAGGTGTAGCATCACTACGGCTGAGGTGTGGTGATGGAGGAGAAGGCGTTGCTGAGCCAATCAGAAACTGCTGGAAAAGGTGTGGAAAATCCCGGCCAAGTCAGCCTGGTGATCCTTCTTAACATCTTTCATTGGCTCTAACAAAGTAGGAACTTACTTTTTTCTGCCACAACCAATTTCTGCTAACAAAGTGGTGGCTGAACAGCACCAGTTTCAGCCACCAGTGCATAGAGGAAGTGTCTACGCACTTCCTCAGCACACATTTTAGTTTCAGACAGTATTTTGTTCTGTCATAATGTGATACTGGAAGATCAAAACATCCATCTGTCCATAATCTAACGCCACAATCCTTGCAGAATAACAAAGAGGGCTTCTGGAGTGCAAAAACAAGATTCAACGTCTGTATGCGAAGATTTCTTTAAAAAATAAAATCAAAAAATGAATATTTTGCACGTAGTAATTTGTTTTTCACTGCTGTATTCTTATCGGTCTTTTGACAAAAAGGCATAATTAAGCACAAAACGTCCTTTCTAGTTGTCAAAACACCCGTGAATGTGCCAGGCCTGCTAAAGCATCAGGTGAGCATCACGCTGGTGGCCCTGTGATTGTATCTAAGTGAAAATTTACATATATTTACATGAACCGTTTTGAAACTGAACAGAAAAGAAAGAGAAACATCATCCGCTGTTTCCTAATCCATCACGATGCTGCTGCCATTGCATCAAATCATGGCTGCCAGTATCTGTGGGTGAGGATTATACCAAAGCCATCACCAAAGTGTGTGTGTGTGTGTGTGTGTGTGTGTGTGTGTTTGTGTGTGTGTGTGTGTGTGTGTGTGTGTGTATGTGTGTGTGAGCATAGGTCAAGATTTATAAGCTCCATGATCACATAGGTCAAATGTGATCATGGAGCTTATTCACTGTTGCTACACAGTCTACTCTCTCTTTTGCATGGTATTATGAATCTCCAGCTTCTTTCCACACTGCAATGATTTCATTTCAATTTCTGGATATGGATTTCAGGAGCTGGTCTGTATTTGTCAGCCATGCAGTAGAAATAAAGAAAGATTTTATAGTTCCAGAGTGTGTAAAAAAAAAAAAACAGCCTTTTGTACTCTTGAGAAACAAGTCCTTCCAGGAAGCATAGACTCTGTTGAGAGTTTAAAGTTTCACCTGTGACGTTCGACGCTATGACACTTCCTGGAAACTGCCTTTTCTGTAAGCAGCCACCCTCTTCTGTGTGGCGGGAAGTCGCTCGCGGACTGCGTGACTTCCTTCAGTTCCTCTGCTAAAACTGCAGGCAGACTGCTGTTCTAAGACAGAAAATCAGCGCTACTGTTCAACAAAAAGGAGAAATTACAGGGGAACTCAAAGGGAGAACTGTTCATGGACCACAAGGAATGAAATGGAAGCACCCAGCAAAAAAAAAGAAAAGAAAAGAAAAAATAAGAAACTTACATGTAACTTATATAATTTTTTTATTTTCTATTTACACATCTCTTAAAACTCTTTGTCCTGACAGATAGATGATCTCTGAAAAACTACTGCAGTCTAAAGAAATGCACTGCACCTGACCAAAAACAACCAATCAGAGCAAGGAGCAGGGTCTTAGCAGCTGTTAATCAACCTCATATACTGGCTGCTCAATGTGTGAATGGCGGAGAAACAACTTACCGTTACAGGAAAACCGTTAACCCACTATCATCCGGTTGAGCATTCTCAACCGGATGAAGCTGCAGGTCTGCAGAGAGCAAAGGGGAGAGGTTGAGCAGCGCCACATGAGACTGTGATTAACGGCAGTACGACCTGCCTCTTTGTTCTGATTGTTTCGTTTTTTTTTCTAGTTAGAGCCCTGGGAGCACTGGGAGCACTGGGAGTAGCCAGAGGAGCTCAATTTTTCCACAGATTATCTGCCTCACACAATACTGTCACGGCATAGTGACAATTTAACCAAATATATAAGAATATATATTCAAAACCTACATACTGCAGCTGAGGTTCTACAAAAGACTCACTTTTACAACCACACTCACTGACCACAATGTCACAATCAAAGATCAGAGAGGAATCAATGTTTCTGTCTAAATCAATGTTGATTTATTTATATTTTGCTATCTGGGGTGTGTAATGGGATGATTTTATTTCTTTGTTTTGACTTGACCATTATTATTATTATTATTATTATTATTATTATTATTATTATTATTATTATTATTATTATTATTGATGGGCATGAGTTATTAAGTCCTGATATTTTTTTTCCCCATATAACCAGAAAGGCTCAATTCCACATTGTGTCAGTTTTTGCTTCCGGTGTTACATCTCCTTGCACATTTCTAATTGTTGAATACTTTATTATATATAATTTTTTTATTTTATTTAAATTTTACAATTCTAAGTACCTGGGTTCAGATTCTAGTCAACAGTCTGTCATCTTCTGTGGGTCGGTTCTGGAAACATTTCTGTTTTCAGCAGAAAACGTGACGTCAAATTTTATGTTTTATTTTGAAATTCCGGTCCGGACGCGTGACTTTTCCCGTGGGCTCGTGAGCTTTACCAAACCAGCGACACCGAGTCATATGTTCGCCCGCTGAGAACTTACCTTCCCACGCAGCCCCAGCTCTCGCGCTCTCCCACCCTCTGGACCGCCGCCGGACCGCCGGAGCGCTCGCCGAAGGAAGTGGCCCGCATTGGTGGTTGAAGGGATGCCCGAGACGGCCGCGGGAGGAGGAGGAGTGATGCTGAACCGGCGAAGGGGCAAAGCCAGGCGGAGGAAGCGAAAGGAGTTGTTCGCCATCCAGATGTGCTTCGCGGCTGCGCTGCTGGGGCTGGCCGTGGGGCTGCAGACGGTGGCACAGAAAGCAGGTGAGCGACGGCGTGGAGGTTTTCCTTTCTTACTGTTCCCCGGAAGAACACATCGTCCAAGTTGTGTCTGCTGTCAGCCAGACCAACAGGCTGATGGCAGGCTGAGGAACAGCCTCTCATTGGGACATTTAGATGCATTTTTGGGGGGTGGGGTGGGGGGTGTTTTATTAACGACGTTTATTGAAATTAGCCACAAAGGAAGAACTATCCATAGAAAACATTTGAGCACCACCAGCTGATGCGTGATGCATCTGCACAGGGTGAAAGAACTGTGGGGACACATGCATTTTTTATTTATTTTTTTGTCAATTTTATACATATATATATTAGTGAAATTGTAGGGTGCATTTGTTCCCTGGTGCTGCTGCTTACATTAACAGCCACTGCTGAGAGCAAAACAACAACATGAGGCAACATCTGCAAGCAATCACCCTCTGGAAATGGTCGCAGTGACCGTGCTGCGGCGTTCACCCCAACTCATGCTTTCATTTCCCTGAGCTCAGCTCAAGCAGCACCAGGCGTCACACATGAACTGGACATCCAGTAACAGACAGGACTGGACCCCATCAGAAGCTCCAGAGCTTCACGATCACACACACACACACACAGTCTGCTTGGCGTGCGTACCTAAAGGAGATTCACACTGGTTATATGGCTGCTTCTGCTTAGTTTGCATGGAATTAGACTTTTAAACAAATATATATGTACCCGACGTTCCCTATAAAATAATAAGTTTCCGGTCATCACGTTTTATTTGCCTTGTTTCCAGACATGACTAAAGTATTTTATTGTGAATCATTTGTTTGTCATGGTAAAGTAAGGGCTGCTTTCTTCTGGAGGTGCAGGGTGTGTGAAGAGGACAAGCGAGGCATTCTAGGATCTTCACTGTGATACAACCTCTACGAAAATAGAAGACCAAAGTTCAATTATTGTTTAAGGCCGAGACTTAAAATGCATTAATCCTGATCGATTAATTCAGGGAGTGTCGAACTCATTTTTGTTTTGGGCCAAATCAAGATCATGAAGGTTCTTAAAGGGCCGGTTGTGCTAGAAAGTATTGATAAAACCTGCTCACAAACGGTTGAAACCATCAATGAACTCTTAAAATTAAATATTATCATTCAACATCTTTTCAGTTCCTCCAGGATTTTGTGATAATTTTTGTAATGTTTTTTTTGCAATAAAAATCTAAGTGTTTGTGGGACAAATTTGGAAATATTTGCGATATTTGAGCCTATTTCTGACGGTAAATGCAACTTTTTATTGCAAAAAAAAAAAAAAAAATCTGACATTATTTAAGGCTTAGGCTGTTAAGTACAAGTAAGAAAGTTTTTGACAAAAGTTCTCCAATAAACTCCTAATTATATATTAGCACAAAAAAGTGTGGGGATTTATTGATTTTGCATAAATTTCCAAGATAATTCTCAAGAAGATGGAGGGAGGGGCTGATTAATATAATTTGGCAGTAAACATATAAAAGCGGCATTGATTTGATTGATAGCATAACACTTAAACACACCTAGTGTTTAATCTAGAAACTAGAGAGCCACATAAAAAGCTATAGCAGTGGATGAAACAGTGGATAATTGCTACAAAACAACAACAACAATCTGATTGGACTCAAGAAAAGTCTATTCTTGGGAGCAAGTCGTGCAAAAATCGCCGCAGTTATTGAAACCTAAAATACCTGAAATTCTAAAAACGTCCTTAACGAAATGTCAGCGTCCGCAGTCCACATTTCTAAACACGTATTTCTTCGGAGAAGTTACATGAATGATCAGGGGTGACTGAAACACTACGATACCACTTTGCAACAATCTGATGGTTGAATAGCATAAATAATACATTAAAACCACAAAATACCTTGTTGTTAAGGTCATGTATGTTTATCATTTTAAAAAGAGTAGTGATAAAAGGAGTTTTTGATTTGAAAATGTTACTTATTTTGTTGATGTATGGTTTACTGTTAAAATGTGACTTACAATTGATTAGAGACGCTGCAAGTGTTTTCCTGATTATTAACTGATTTTATTAGCCTAAGTACTGTGAGGTCCTACCTGCAAGGCAGGCAAGGATATATGCATCTTTAAATGTGTCAAATTTCATTTTGATGGCATTACTTCATCACCTCTTGGTACATCTGGCAAAGACACAAGTAGCATTAGCCCAAGTGCTTAATGCTCTTCCTCTGACATGCAGAAATCCAGTCATAACCGAATAAAAGGTGTTGACCTGGTTTGGCTGTAAGAAGGGAAATATTTCACCCTGGCTGAATAACACTGAGATTCGTAAGCAAATATAGACATGATACAGTAAGAGAGCGAGAGGGACACAGGTAGATTCAGTAGATAAATTCAGATTTATTTAAGTGACATATAAATGCATGGATGATGAACAGAGAAGATTTTCCAGATATTTTTTCCTCTGCATATTGTGTCGAACATGACAAGACATTTTCAGGTATTTCTCCAATACCTGTAGTTGTTGTTTGTATTAATGGTCAGTACTGAATTGTTCTACAGACTGATTACTCCAAAGTAAGGAGTGCTGAACTAATCCGTCATTATGGGTTGATGGTGACCTTCACTGGAGGAGCTCTGAGTTAGGAGTAGGTGCTAATTGAAGGGAGTTTTCACACAAGAGACCAGGAGATCATCACACGACCCTGATAATAGAACTGTCAGCATTTCTTAAACTTGACTTTTGTCAAGTTTAAGAAATGACAAAAGTCATTTTGTCATCTCATGGGAAATCACATGGGACCGCATGAAGTCATGTTCTTATTCATGTCCCTGTCCAAGCACTCAGTCTAGTTCCATGTATGGTCACGGACACTTAAGGTACGAAGGAAGTCTCCGGTTCGGTCAGGAATCGAACCACAGGTGGTTTCGTTGAGCACAGATAGCCCTCGTGTACGGAGCTAACGCTGCTCTTCTACACCATATGTGGCCACAAATTCATTTGCAATACGAGCGTCTATTTGTCACCTCTGCTTTAATCTGTAGAGCAAATATACTGCGCGCCAATCTCTCCGACCTTGCCTTCATCATCTGTACACCAGAAACCTGCCAGACAAATGGTCATTCCATAGCTAAGCCTCTTGGTATATCTGATATACAGTAATAATCTCTACATAATCTCATTACATAACCTAAAGCTCTTGTCTGTTGGTCCGTCTTTGTTTGTTAGCAGGCGATTGGATGGGAGAGTGGAGGAGCACAGATGGAGCACTTTGCTCTGACAAAGCCTCGGGACTCAGAGCTGACTTAGACATAAAGGAAAAGAGACAGGAGAGAAGAGAAGGAAGGGGAGACCGGGACTGAGTTCGTTTGCGTGAGTGTGTATGCGGGCAGACGAAAGTGGGATGTGAAGAGGAAAAGTGGGAGCAAGCGAGGACAAGAGGAGGAGGGAAGATGCGAGGGAAGAGAGATCAGGTTTTGGTTGAAAAGAGTCGCAGTGGGGGAGGCAAAGGATGACTTAGAGACTGAAATAGAGCTACACTTTAAAAAGAGAACAGAGACCACTTGTATAAGAATACGGCGCATGTTGGATTCAAGTGATTTCCCTTCATTGAGCCTTTAATGCTAGAGACCACTCTTGAAGTCATGACCACTTCCACCAGGTAGAGGCTGAAGGTGAAGATGATGAAGAGCCAAAATGCAAATGACGACATTTAAATGATGATTTATTTAAGCTCAGGATATTTACCAAAACGCACGAGAACCCTGCACAAGACAAAAACATGACAATAACTGAAGTACCATGTGAGACAGGAGAGGAGGACAACTGATCAGGTAGCAGGTGAAAAACATGAGCAAAATTAGCAGGGATAAGCCTGGGCTGAGGAACTTTGCTCAGCAAACAAGAAATAAAAACTTTACGCCTAATTGTAACAGAACCTGCTCTCATCCCAAATGAAACTAAAGGAAGCATGGATACTGGAACACAAGACTGAAGCATAGGGATGATGATAATCAAGGCTAGAAAACAACCAAGACCAGGGGGAGACGACACCAGGCAGGAGAACATGGAAAAAAATAATTTTACATGAAAACAAAAGGAAAATAACTTAGAGAAACAAAACTTGACACCAAGCTGGAGTTGCTGATTTGTGCCGAGGCTGTGAAACACACAAACTACACAGGTTGTGATGTTAATTTTAGTTTTTCTTTGGATTAAAAAAAATAAAGTTCATGCATGGTTATTGGTTTACATCTTTTGACCATGTTACCTCAATCCAAAAGGTTGGATATTTAAAAAGACGGGGAAAAAAAAGCACCAGAATGTATTGGTATTCATAGCGAAATAAACAGCTGATCATCTCTGAGTCTATCAATATGTTTGGGCCAGCAATTAATTTCAAGAAGACAAATTGACATATCTGGGTTTGTTTGAGTCCATCAGAAGCACAACCTTGAAATTCTCTATTTCTGAGTGTTGCTGCAGACATCAGTGGATGGTTGACCACATCTGGTGGAGAAGCTCACTAGTGGAACCGAACCTTCAATTGTGTAGAAAGAATGAATTACAATTGAACTGGTCGATTGTTGATTTCACTAATCTCATATCCATATCTAAATTGTCAGTTGATCTTTTTTTGTAAGGGCTTGAACAGTATAAATTACGTTTTTCCCCTTCCTATATGGAAAGATTATGTTACAATCACTCTTAATATTTTTGTATTTTAATATTTTCGAGACGCCATCTGCAAGACTTTTACAAAGAAATGATTGAATTCTATTTTTATCTGAAATTTTGGAGCCTTCTTTAACAAAATAATTTGGAGAAGGTGTTTGTCTTTTATCATTTTTAATCAAAATCTTTTTAAATCTGTTTTAAGAAACATTTTCTTGTTTTAATATTGCTCATATTTCTCTTCAGCCTCTTTCTTCTTAATTTTAAGTGACATTTCTATGAATAACTTTTTTTTCTTCAGGTGTTTCTTAATACTTTTGTCATCCACGGTTTGTTGATGCTGAAGAACTGCACAAATTACAATTTTCATCATAAAGTCTTTGCAGTATCATATTCTTTATTTACATCATATATATTTACTCTATTCCCATTTTATTTTCACAGTGAGCTGCTCTTTCAGCAATGAATCGATTTGCTGTTTCACAGCAATTTTTTAAAATTATTTTATTAACGTCTTTCATCGTTTTACCATAAATAATTCCTTATTTTTATCTTTTGGTTACATTTTTCCTGCCATTGAACTATTTAATTGTGTTTCCCTGGGAGGTATGCCTGTTGTGTTTTTTTAAAAGCATCTGTCAAGCACTATATATTACACCTGACTGTATGGAAAGTGCCCTATAAATAAAGTCAGATTAACTTATTCAAGTGGCGGGTCTGTGAGAGATCTGAGCAGACACTAACAGTGTTAAGTGTCCTAAATGTGTGCCAATATTCCTCCACCGCTAATCCGAGAGGGAAATGGATCATTATTTGTTGTTTCTGAAAGTTAATAATTCATGTTAAGGACTGTGTATAGGCTTGGCAGCATTAGTATTTGACATGTTGCAAGGTTTTCCCGGTGGTTGGGGGGCAGGTCAGTCATTCATCCAGCAGCCCGTTGTGTTTTTGAGTTAAAAAATGTTTGGAGTCGGCAGGAAATTTGGAAATATTACTCCATAATTACATGGTATTGAAAGATTAACACCTGAACACCAACTACAAGGTATTTGAAAGTGCAGAACTTAAATAAATAAGCAATGTTTAGCCTGGAGGGCTGCCAGGCTTATTATCCCTGTTGCATTACATCTCTGGTCTTATTTAAATGTCTGTGAAAGGAGCAGAATTTGTTTGACATTGAAGTAATTTGAAATTGTGAACGAGAATTTATTCTCTTATTCATTGTGACTACGTTTTGGAAAATCTACTTACAGGTAAAACTTTCTGTGATTGTTCTATTGCATCTGCAGGGTCTTTCTTGCATAACTGTTCTCAGAGCTCCTCTGTGGACTTTCCCAGTTAAATACAACTTAGGAACCTGAAGCAAGAAATTATTGCAATAACATGAACCTTTAGTCATAGAGTAATGAAGCATCTACAGTTTCTTTCTTGCACAAATGCTTTTTGTTCCTGTGGCCCACGGAGCCACTAAAAGCCATACTCAGAACATGATTGTCAGAGTGCTTTGTCAGGCACATGGACCACAAGGCACAGATCTCTGATTATCTGTGTGTATATATATATATATATATATATATATATATATATATATATATATATATATATATATATATATATTAGATTAAAATGTGATTCATCCCAATTAATTACAGACTCTGCAGTTAACCTGACTAAAAAATTTAATCAGGTGCCTCCACTAGTTAACCCTTTAATCAACAAATTCATTGAACTTTTACTTAACTATTGAGTAAAAGATGAATAACATACTAAAAGGTAAAACATTAACGATACAATGTCAATGCTTATGTTCATGTCACGAGCAGCTGTGCCTTAATTGCATCTGGCTTTTGAGAAAATGGGGCATATTAGTGCATTTCAGAGCTGTTTTCTATAGTTCTGAAATGCTATATAATGCAGAGTTCCTGTATTATCAGTGATCAAATGATTTATTAGAATGAAGCTGGAGTGATAGTCTCAGCTCTGGCTTGCTCTAAGGCCTGCTCTACATGGAAGAGTTTTAAGCATTGCAGTACATTGAAACACTCAAGGTCACTTACTTTTCGGGGGTGATGGCGGCCACAGCGGCGTTGCTGTCGTCTTGTCCGTGGCCAAGACACTTCACTGGCCTCGCCTGCTGGTGGCAGTCTCGCTTCTGTCAGGGCAGCTGTGGCTACAGTCCAGTAGCTTGCCTTCGTCAGCGTGCGAATATATGCATGAATGGGAATGACTGATCCAGTTCAATGCTGGCATCGTGACGCACAAAAAAACCATGTCAGCTTCCACTCAGCTTAGGAAAAATTGGAAGGGCTAAAATTGGGCCCGATAATTTGAAGCATCTGCCGGATTGCTAGATTTGAAGAAAGGAGTAATCTGAGCAGACCTCCAGGCAAATGAACTGCGTAAGCTAAGCAAGAGATGGAATAATGGTATGTAAAACTTCTACCAAAATATGTCAAAGAGGCTCATGAAGAAGCTGAGTACAGCATGTTCTTCAACGTAGTTTGATCAGCTATTGAGAACCATCATTAGTTTTACCATTATTAGTCTGGAACAACATTCATAAGCAATCATCAAAACAAACAAACATAATGTTTCTTGGCCCTTTGGATACCAGACGCCCTCTTCTAAATGTAAATGAATGTTTTTCATATCAGAATTCCTGTGTGGATCTCTGTGACTGACGGCGGCACAGTGGGCTCCGTGGCCCAGTTTCTCTGAAGCCGTCAGTCTGCCGAGACCCTTTGTACCCACGAACAATGAAAACACAATCACAACACAATTCACCTGCACTTGGCAGGGCCAGAGGAGCCCATTATGCTTTTAATTACCCCGATCAGATAAATGATGCTCTCAGACGTCGCCCAGTGAAGCGCTATTATCTGAGTCTGTTTGTATGTGCTGGCAACCTCTGAATGTCTGACAGGCATTCGGAGAGAAGCTTATTACGCTGAAGATGAGAAAAGCTTTCGTCATTAAAAAGACAAATATGCCCTGGCTTATCTGCGAATTGGATAAGATTGAGGATGATGAGGGAAGTTGCCTCCTTAGGTGCAGACTGGTGTTCACAGAGCAAAACCCGTGTTTACAACTCCGAGAGTCTATTCTCCTGAAGTCTTGCTGCTTCTGGTGGCAAAGATATTGATATTCAATTACAACTTGACAAAAATATTCAATATTTTTTACTCATTTCTGAAAGCGATTTATTTTATATATATATATATATAAAGTCTTGAATATTTAAATCTTTTTCTTGTAATGTAGGGTGATGTAAACAATTAGTTTGGTAATCGAGCAATCTTATCGATAATTCTGATGATTACTTGAGTAATTTGGAAAAAAAATAAATCTAGTTCATATAGGATATATTTGCTTTTTGCAATTTTTCTTTATTTTTCATGTTGCATGTTTAATTGGGTTTTGCTGACACCAAGTTTTGATTTGCAGTTGTTTGTGTGTTGCTGCCAGTGTTGGCCAGGTCTTTCTTGAAAAGGAGATTTTTAATCTAAATTAGACATATCTGGTTAAATGAAGGACATATATGCATGCACGATTGAGCTTTGTGGTTCACAGGATGATGCTGAACTAATGATTCCACAAAAGGAAAAAGTGAGAACAAAAAAACACGTCTCATCTCCCTGTGGAAGTGGGATCTTGTGGAAGATGCAGACTATCGTGAACTTATTTTTTGTAGCCAAATACCAGCAGAACTGGTTCTTATTTTCCATGGTTCTTGTTTGACCTTTAAATATTAGTGGAACCTTCCTAATATTTCTGTTTTACAACTTTTTCTGCCTCCCAGGATATCAGACTTCTATCTCCTTGGTTGTGGAAGAGGCAAAGTGGGAGAGTCGTCACCTTCTGCAAGAAGACAACAAGTCCAAGCTCTACCTAGAGCCGGACAAAAACTGCACTGAACCAGGTAAGTGTTTATGTGGGACAGTTGCTGCTATATTTATTATGATACTATAGGCTAATTGTTGTTATTTTTACCCAAATGTATATTGAGAATTCGACTCAATATGCGTTATGTGTAGTACTAATACATTTTTCATGTTGCTTTAAAGAGTTTTTAAACTCTGAATTTGCCATTTCAAAAATACTTAATTCAATTTAAAATAATGATAAATTAAGTTTTGAGATCCATCTTCTCTGGGAGATATCAGTTGCTGTTGGATGCCCCCTACTGGCCCGGAGGACCTACACAGCAGCTTAGTGTTCTTATGACTGAGGTGACCCTTTAAGAATAGAAATCACCCTTCCTGGTGCTGATGCAGATTGCTAAGAAGAAAATTTAAAAAACAAAAAACCTCCTTGAGAAATAAATATTCTGCGCCCCCTGCAGCCTGAAGTCGCCGGCATCAACACCTGTGTGTGTGGATTTGTCTGATCCTCGGCGTGTACCGACAGCTCTCGCAGAAATCCCTGAAGTCTATTCTTTCCAGATTTCTAAATCAATCTGGCTGCAGGCTGCTGGGTCTAGGCAGGCCAGTTAGCAGTCGAGGCTGATGTATTCTCTTCGACGCCAGTTCAAACACACCCATTGTTGACCTGGCTGAGACTGGCTCTTCAGGCTAAGGAGGTTCAGACCCTTTGAACGGAGAGCCTTCAGAGTTGACTCGTCAGAGGAAGTGTTTGTGTGTGTCTTTCCCCGTGGTGTGCAGTGTGCGAGTGTTTTCCACGTGGAATCCTGGGGCTTTATGAGGCTGACGCCTTGCCAAGCATTTGCTTGATCTCATGTTAAACACGCAGCCGGCTACTAATGCACACATGCCCACACTCCTTATCGGTCCCGCAGCTGAAACGCAGGCACCACGTGTTGCCTGACTGCATGCATCCAGTCCAGTTCTGCACATAGTTTGTGTTTATTGTCACTTTGTCTCCTGAAACACTAATTACCTTAATGAGGATTACTTCTCCTCTTCTGTGTTGAAAGGAGCCTTCACAGTTTGCTCATCAACTGTTAATCGTCTTCGCCCCCAGAGCGTTTGCTCTCTCTGACTTCTACTGTGTGTTTCTCTCGTTTGTCTCTCATCTGCTTTTCCCCGTTCAGATAACAGCATTGTTTCAGCTGGAGAGCATCACTGCTGGGCTCTACAGCACCATACAAGCTTTGAAAAGCACATGCATCTCAATATTATTATCTAAAGCAGGTTTCCATCTTGTGGAGCATTTTTATGTATGGCAGATTTTTGTTACATTACATTTCTGTTCAACTACTTGCAATGTTAGTCTTAAACGCACAAAATCAGGGTTTCCCCCAGAAAACTTGCTAAGCCCAGTGGTGATCCACCGGCAGTCCTCCATGTTCTTGTATTAAAAGATATTAAAAATGTCACTGTAAGACATTGCCGACAGTACTTAAAAATAACAACAAAAAAGCAATTAAAATAAATATCAATTATTTGCACGTCTCTTTAGTCCAAATTAAGTCAGCTGCTTCTTAAGGCCCCACAGGTATTTCAGGGGCCTCATAAATGCAAATATTTTAACACAGGCCACAGATTCATAAAGGTAATATTTGTTAACAATATTCATAGACTATTTTGTTACCATAGCTACAATCTTATGCTCTGTTCTTGTTGCCCAACAATGATTTTTTTCTGATCTCTGTGCATGCAGCAACTCTGCCTGACTGTAAAGCAAGGCATTTTTACATGATGCAGTTTGAAGCATTGAATACATTTTTTTTAAAAGACTTAGCACAAATAAATAAACATTAAAGTGACTAAAATAAATGACCATGGTCAAGTTTTAAAAAAGTTCCCCTTCTTCAGTCGCAGCATGTTCCTGGCTTTTACTTGAAGTTCTGTTTGCAGAACTTCATGTAAAAGAGCAAGTGTAAATAAACCACTCAGACAACTATTAACTGAACCACACACACGTTAGAAAATGTATATCTAAATAAAATAGTTTAAACTTAAGCAAAGTGCCATCTGTAACTAGTAATATAAAGATTTTGGTGGTGGTAGGAGCATCCGCCACAAAATTGCCTTCCTCTGAAGACTCGCTGGCACAGTGGGACAAATTGTCAGCAGTAGCAGTCTGTGTGCCAGGGATGTGATGCACCTCAAACTTGCAGGGTTGCATTGTCAGGTACCAGTGACTGTTGGTGTTTTTCATCCTCTCTGACCACTTTTATTGCATTGTGATCGGTTTCCAGCTCAAACCGTCTTCCCAGGAGGTAGTTCTGAAGTGAATCCAAAGCTTGTTTTATAGTCAGACATTCCTTCTCTTTAGTGGAATAATTGGTTTCTCAGGGAAAACGTCTAAGGCCGATGAAGGCGATTGGATGGCTGTCATTTGATGGCCCTGAAGCAACACGACATCAAGATCTTTGTCTGATGCATCAGTTTGTAGGACAAACTCCTCCAAGATGACCTTGGCTCAGGGCCTGCTGAATGTCTTTGAGTGTTTCCTTAGTGTCCTCAGACCTTAGAAGTATGTTTGGGCCTTGACATCTGTTCATGTTTCTAAGCAGAGTACTTAATGGTAAATGTGGTACCGACCAGACATACCCGAGAAGGATTTTCTTTTCTGTGGAAGGCAGCAGGGCTGGATGCCCTACATTTCTTGAATTTGTGGCTTCACCGACCCTTTTCTGATTTACCCGTTTCCCTCCTTGCAGTGGTACACTTTGCTGCATCCACTGTCAGTCCTACATTCTGGAGACAATCAAAAGCCACCTTTAGGGGTTGCAGGCGTGGGTGCTCTTAAAAATTATGTCATCCAGATATGCAGAAGCAAAATGATAGAGTACCTTGTCCATTAGGTGTTGGAATGTGGCAGGAACCTGAGGAAGTGCAGGCAGCATCACTCTGAAGTGGCCCTACAGTGTTCTGAAAGCCGTAAGCTCCCTGGACCTGGGTGATGCTGAGATATTTTTCTTTTCCAAGTTTCTCAATCAGATCAAGCTTGAAGCTGAACTGAGGTAGCAGAAGTCAATGCAAAACCCATTTGTGCCATCCATTTTAGGGACAGGGCCGGTTGGATTGCACCACTTGATGTGTGATGCTTCGATAATGCCAAGGGAAGGCATTAAGGCAATTTCCTTCCTAAGTGATTCCAGAAGTCCCGCAGGTATGCAATAGCTCATTCGTTTGGAGCAGCAACTTATTTTAAGACAATGTTATGCATTAAAACCTGGATATTCTTGGACACATAAAGTGGACGGACAGCCCTCATCTCCAGCTGCTGTCCTGACATATTATTCATAATATGTCAGGACTAATAGTTAATTCCATCAACTATTAGAGGTTGATGGAACAGGGAAATATTCCTCCCCAGGTTTCTCATCTTCTGTTCTCTAGATGCAGAAGGAGGTAGATATCTCTCAGGCCCAGGACACCGACTCACAGGGAGAAACTGAATGCAGTTGCTTTGATCTGGAACAGAGACTTTGTGCGTCAATTTTCCCCATCACCTCATAAAGCCATTGTCACTTTGGCAGCAGCCTGTTCTCCTCTGAAGACAGCACAAGTTCTTTCTGGACCAGCTCAAACTTCCTCTCCCACAACTTGTTTAGTTGGCGCATTTTGTCTGTTAGGAATTAATTTTGTAGTTCTCAACTTCCAAAATTAATATTTTCCCCTCCAATTTTATCTGTCTTGACATTTTAAAAATCTCAAAAATGATCATCAGTCTTCCCACAGTCACACCCTTCATTACATAAATGTATTTTACTTTGCCGAACAATTAAAAAAATAAAAAAAAAGAGAGTACTTCTTAAATAAAGTATCACAAGCTGACTGATGCTGGAGCTCTTGGCTGTAGAACTGAATAATATCACAGGAGAGGAAAACCTCTTGTGCTGTTCAGTTGAGATGAGCCAAACACAGTTAGTATCTGAGTGACCCCACAACCAAAGGTCAAGACGAGAAAACGCTTAACCTGTGACCTGTTGATTTTCCACTCAGTTTCAGAGCAACAAGTCAGTTTACACTCGTCCAGCTATCTCCTGCTTTACCAACCCCACTCCACACCCAGCACAGATCCCTGCGCAAACACGAGGTCACATAGAGTCACATCCAGTGACTTCCTGTCAGCAGGGGTTTGCATGAACGTAGCTCTGTTCTGCTGGGGAATTAAACAGGAGACTTTCACACATATCGGATGTGATCACAGAGGAGAGAGTGTTTAATTAATCCTGTTTACAGTGGCTATCTTTGCTAACTTTGTCCAAGGTGCCTCCGGTTTAACAGCATGCATGCATTTATTGGTGTAACATGTGGAAAGCTGCTAACAGTGATATCCCTGATTTTTGTCTCTATCCTCCATGACTCCCCCTCTAGTTCTTTCCTTTATGCACAGGTACATGCATACATGTGTGCTTTATGAAGTAGCTAGACATATATGCTTGCTTTGCATTGTGCAGCTCTTATAATTCTGTGTCTAAAATGTTTTAATAATAATATTTTTCTAAATGTACACACCACTTTCACATTTTACATTATAGAGTCAAGCATCATTTTCTATTTAAGTCGCAATTATTCGCTATTACAGCAAGGTGTGAAATGTTCTGGAGCAAAGTTAAAATTTATCTCTATAATAATCCCATAAAATAAAGCCACGTGCTTCAGTGGAGAAAATATAGAAAATAACTCTTCAGCTGTTATCTATGAAACCACTTAGTCATATTTAGTAAACTACAATATGCTATGCTTGTTAGTCAGATTAAGAATACTTTTTTTACAAATAACCTTTAAGCAGTGCATCAGCATGTTTCATCTAGACTGTTTCTGTTGGGTTTTTTTATTCGCCTAATGTAATATTCTATACTTAATGGTCCTGGTTTTATTAGCTGCGAGGGGAAAAAAAACCATCATAACTGAAAAGAGGCTTGCAAATAACTTTTTAACAACATTTCATATCTTGAATATGACTGAAAAAAATGAATCCTGACTTGATGTTGTTTTCGTTCAC